AATACATATAAAGAATTTTTGCTTACCTGATGATGTTGGTATGCCGAATGCATTGCCACAAATCAGAGTGGCCTTCGGTCCTGGTATTTGATTGATTAATCGTCCAGTCCTTGAATGACGTACGTAATAATAAAAAACAAACACAATAATTACTGTAATAATAAATAACAAAAGTATAGTAACAATCATTTTGTGACGTGACAAACGGCAACAGCGTTTCGGATGTTTATAATGTAACTGGGCGTTACGTCGGAACAGAATGCAACATGTATTCTGGTCATGAATTGATATATGCGGATATCGACAGTACTCTTGCAAATGTCATGTTTAATCTATAAAGGTGGCTGATAAATACGTATTTTGAAACTGTTATTGTTGTTGAAAATATCATTTATCAATATACACGATGTCCGAGAACAGTTGTGCCACTGCTTGTGAGAGAGTAGAATATATTAAGATGAACACATAAGTCTTATATCGTTTTACAATACTCGAAAAAATCATCAATATATTAATTTTAAAATATTGAATAAAAGAGGGGAACAGAGAGAGATAGACAGAGAGAGAGAGAGAGAGAGAGAGAAAGCACGTACCAAAATAGTAGAGAAGGAATACTCGAGCCGTTCTAGCAACTGCACGGCCCTATTGTTACGAACAAATTAATAATATAATTAATGAAAAAACCGGATTACGAAACACTTTTGTTATTTGTATGTGTCCTTACAAGTACTTGCAGGTACTACATATATGTATACAGCTTCGATAATACCATATTAGAATATATAGTACTATATTTAATGCACCATCCATTATATATTAATTTTATATAAACGTGAATTTTAAACGTTTATTTTTATAACATTTTTAAAACCAATATGCATATATATGTCACTTATGTTGGCATATATGTTTCGCAATGCAAGTCCTGATAATTGTTTTTTCGTAAACAGCTTGAATTCGAAAATATATTTATGCAAGCTGATTGTTTCATAGGAAAATTATTTCTTTTTTTATAATAGTGTTACGTGCCATAGGCCACACGTACCTTTGTTTGGAATATATTGCGTAGAATTAACTTCCGATTTGCGTAGAATTATTCATCCGACGGAATTTTAAAACAATTAAGTACTTGAACTGCGAGTCATACTACCTTACGAAACATCTGTACAAAAACTATCGTGAAAACAAGTCAATCACTGTACGTTAGAATGGTTCCTATTTGCTCTTAGTCAAAATTTTTTTTTCAAATTTTTTCGCGGCAGCCTCCAAAAAGTTTCCATTTGACAAAAAAATAATTCCTATCAAGTTTGAGTTCGATCGGACAACGAGAACCCGTGCCCCCGGGTTGTTAAACATTAGAGTACTCTTGTATTAAGCTGTCTGTGTTATCAATATGGTTTTTAAGACGTCTTTTCCACAAAAATTGCCTTAGAAGGTTTTTCGTTTTTCTTCCTACATCATTTGAGATCTTATAGTCTCACTTAAATAATTAGATAAAATGTTGATCATTCAAAAAATAAAAATAAATAAATGTTGCATTTATTGTTTGAGGTACAACAAATCATATATGGACTATAAAAGTTGCAATAATATGTTTGGAGGATAATATAAGTGTAAAACATGATATCTTTCATGTTTTTATTAATAAAGAAACTTTTTTAATTAAATATTACATAATAATTAATAATCTCGTGGCTTCTTATCTTATACTGGGAAGGGACTATAGATGTCTGTTTGATAACAGCGTGTACGGCAAAATTTAATAAATAATTTATTGAAATGATTTGGAATAAAAATTACACACTACTTGATTAGAACTGTGATGTTTTATTATTAATAACTTGTGCAGTCGCCTGTATTATTAATAATTCCCTGACATTTCCGAGGCATACTTGCAACTAATTTTACGGCACATTCTTTAGGTAAAGATCTCTATATCAATCGAATTTGTCGAACTAACTTCTTGACCGAACAAATTTTCTTTCCATGAAGTTTAAACTTCATCAAGGACCAAACGATAGGATTTACATCCGGTGATTGTGACGGCCAATCCAGTAATATAACATTATTTTCTTATTTCCGCGCGGTACAAAGACGACTTCGATCAAGACATTTAATATCATCGTCCTCTTGTAGTATCCATTTATCGTTTTTCCTTATAAACCATGTTTGAGCGGATAATAATAAGGTCTTCTCATAAATTTTGACCATTTTACTAGAGTTTACGTTGTTTGTGAAGATATGCAAAGTGCTAAATCCTTGCGTAGAGCCACGTTTCGGTAAGTTATCGACATTTTTCACTTCTAAATAGCGATTCACTCATTTATTTACAAATGCTTTTGATTTTCTCATGTAATTAGTAGCCGCTTGGTGTGACATTTTTGATCCTTTCGGATGTGTACAAAGAAACACGATTTCGAAACGCGATGTATATTTGGCACTCAAGGCGAAATATTATATCAATATAATATATTTTTATCACGAAGATTGAATAACAACTAAAGCTTTATCAACAAAGCATCTTAGGCAAAAGGTGCTTCTACCGGCTCCTGTTTGAATTTCCCATCCACCTGTTTATATGTAAAATTTTTGCCGGACACGCTCTTATCAAACAGACTGTATAATATCTAGGCCGCGGACTCGCAATGTTTCCTATTGTCTGAACACGTCAAACAATATAAAGAAATAGCATTCTTTCGGTAAAAAGTCTGTTTCTTTCTAACGAAAGCTGCTTTATTCCCGCCACAAGACCACGATAAGTGATTATCGGTCATCGGTTTCAATAAACTATTTTTCGCTAAAGTTCGAGAGTTCTTTGTGTTTTTCCTTTTTCCTGATATAGTTCCCATTTATCTACTGCAAAATCTGACACATCGATAGTGACGACGAAAGATTTGATAAAATCTAAATATTATAGTACCGATTTTGCGCATAGCGAATTCTTATTGCGCATAGGGTTTGAAAGAAGATAAACCAACTTTTTTATTAAAAGTTTTCAATCATTCTTTTGACGAAATAAATCCTTGATGAACAAAATTAAATTAACTAAAACTAAATTAATTTAAAGATACCTTAGCTAAAACTTCAAAGAATAAGCCGTTTCGTTACAAAAGGTCGCTACAATAGAAGGTTGAAAGCCGTCAAGGAAAGCGATTCAAACCTGTGATAAAATGCGGTCTCAACGACTGATCGAGAGTTGTTGTGACTTGGAAGTTGCTACAGCAAGTTCGTGAAGGACATGAAGTCTATATCACTAATTCGATCTAAGGCACTGTAAGACCGCCGACTTTTTCCTGCGAATCCAGAGGAATCGCCGCAGTCAAAAGCGCGACAGCGCCCGATTTGCGACAAATTCTTTTTGGTGATGGTGAGTCCGTTCTATTTTTGTGAACGGAATGTTAGCGATATTTGGTGTTCGAGTCGCGATTTGGGTCCCGTATCGAAAAGAAGAGGCCCGAATTAGAATGTTCGAATGGAAATGCATTAGAGCTCGTTTAGGTAAATACAGATCTAGTAAATCTAATCATATAAAATATATATATAATAAAAGAATCTACGACTTGGCCGATATACCTAGAAGAGTATAATACTGCAATTCTAGATAAAATCGTAAAACTCGTAATTTATTCTTGTAAGATTCGTAAGAACTTACGAGTAGATCTGCAAATTTTATATGAACCATTTGTCATATGATAATTCGTAAATACCTACGATTTCTTTTTTCGTAAGCTACGACTTTACGCTTTTACGATTTACTCATATATTTGCTTAAAATTGCAGTAAAAAAACTATTCTCTGATATCATAGACTGAATGTTTAATCTTACATCGATTAATTCCATTAAATTTCGATTAATTCATTCATTCTTCATAGTGGAGTTTAATTATACATTTAAATTCGGAAATATAACACATCCGAATTAGCCCTTTTTTTAAGCCCTTTTTTAAGTTGCTTCTCACGTTGGTTTGTACGTGTCATCCGGTTATTCGTCCCGATTATGAAATTGTAGCATGCAATGCGAATATTATGCGAGAAGTGACCTGCAATTGGGCGAGGATAAAGGACAGTTGACTTCATCAGAGTCAAGATAAGATAAAATTAATCCTTAAGTCACTAAAAAATTTATTTTTAAAATTTAAGTTAACCTCTACAGATATAATTTATTTATAGCTATTTATAACATTTATATGTATATAAAATCGTAATATTAAATTGGCACACACATGTATGTATGTGTTTAATTATTAAATCGACAATTCTTTGATTTTTGCGATGTATTTGCATTCGCTTCTTACACTCATAGAATCTGTACGTGCTTCATACGGCTTCTATAGGTACAAATCTTACATTCAGTGGGTGGTTAGGTCGAAGTACTAAGTCAATAAGTATCTGCATGTCTTTTAAATAATCGATAGGTTCTAAGTAGAAATTGCGCACGAGAGTAGCTATCATGGCTTTCATTTCCAACATAGCGAATCGTTGACCTGTCATGCATAATTTGTATATTAAAAACTGTTGACATATATAAAGAAGTGAACATCACGCTGACTTACCAATACAATTCCGTGGTCCTGCGCTGAACGGCAAGTACGAGTAAGGATGACGACTATGTATTTTTTCAGGCAAAAATCTGTCTGGATCGAATATACTGGGATTCGGCCAGAAATTGGGATCTCTATGAACGTCGTAGATATTGAGATGCATAATTGTTCCGGCGGGTGCTATATATGAATCTGTAAAGTATATTACATAATTAGCTGTATTTTATAAACGATATTTTGAAAATATTATGTAAATTACTATGTATAAAAAAATCCATCCTATTATTCATGGATATAATTCTGATAATATTAATTATGAAACGTTAAATCTGAAATGTGTTTATATATTTATAAAGATTTATCGCTGTTACTGCTTAATTGCACATCTTCCGCAGTGACTCGCGATATATAATGTACGCTGGGGTAGAGCCGCAAGATTTCTTTCAAACATCTTTCTAAGTACGATAGATTCTGCAAAGACGTCATAGTCAATTTCTTCTCAGACTGTTCCATCACTGTGTTGACCTCCTCCCTGACACGATCCTATATCACCAATTTTCATTAAAATTGCATGCCTCATTACTTTGTGATATTTTTATGTACACGCAAAGAAACAATTTCAGCAAATGTCTACCTGTATATTTATATTTAATTTATTATTTTATTATAAGGTTGTTGCTTTTTAATTTCGTTTAATTAATTAATTTCAATTTATATTGGGTTGGCCAATAAGTTCGTGCGGTTTTTTACTTATAAATGATCGATGATTATTTTTGTAGAAGATAACAACTTTAATCAAATATATATTGACCTTTCTTATCTACTATCTTTTACCATCTTTCGGGCAGTTTTATAATTCCTCGTTCAAAGAATTTCCTGTCTTTCTCTGCAAAAAACTGTTACAAGTGTCGTCTGACAGCTTCCTCAGGAACGAAGTGCTTTCCATTCAAGGAATTCTGAAAAGTGCGAAACAGATGGTAATCTGAAAGTGCAATGTCTGGAGAATAGGAAGAATGTGGTAAGACATCCCAGCCTAGTGCCCATAATTTTTGCCAGGTTTGTAGAAATGTGTGCAGCCAGCGTTGTCTTGGTGAAAGACGACGCCTCTACGATTCACCAATTCTGGACGCTTCTCGTGCATCGCTGCATTCAATTTATCCAGCTGACTACAGTATACATCTGAATTGATCGTTCTGTCTTGATGTTCAGAAATAGCTCGTGGAACACAATACCCTTCCAATCCCACCAAATTGAGAGTATAATCTTGCTCAGGTGAAGCCCTGCCTTTGAAATGGTTTGTGGTGGTTCGCTGCGCTGCCCCCACGATCTTTTGCGCTTGATGTTACTGTAGACGATCCATTTTTCATCGCGAGTTATCATATGGTTCAGAAATGGATCAGTTCTCTCATGTTTTCCAAGTGAATCGCTGATGGAAATGCGTTGGATTAAATAAGCTTCGCTCAGTTCGTGCGGAACCTAAACATTGGGACAGCTAACATAACCAAGTTGATGCAGGTTTTCTACGCTCGATTTCGATATTTGGAGAACGTCTGCAATCTCCCGCGTCGTGTAGTGTGGATTGGTGTCGATTACCGTTTTCAATTTGTCGCTATCGATCTCATTTGTCGGCTTAAGCGTGGTTTGCTTTTGACAGAAAAATCTTCGCAACGAAATCTCGCAAACCACTTTGGAACACGCGTTTTTTCACAGCCCTTTTTCCATTTTCAGATGACGTAATATACACAAGATACGCAATCTTTATGTATATTTTTTAAATGCACGTTGAAATGTCATCTGTCAATAACTATACGCTTTCAAGACTTTCGACTGCAGATAAAGCTAAGCAGAGCGCCTTGAAGTCATTTATCGAGAAAAACTGCACGGACTTATTGGCCAACCAAATACACGAAAAAATATATTGCGACGAGTAGTATGGTAGAATGCTTCTACCGTTTTAATAGAAGCTAATTAACGACTTAATGATTGAATAGGATTAATCAGTTGCTTCTTTGAATTTATATATCGCTTGTCTCTATTGAAAAGTACCTGAACATCCTTATGCTCAGCTAACAGTAACAAAGTGAAACATATAGCTGCTGCTGTCGTGTCATGACCCTATAATCAGTTTGTATGTTAGATGCATATGAAAAGCACTCACTATTGAATTAACGTAACATGTTTGGTTAAAAACGATTTGATTAAATTAAGCATAATTTCTGATTATTATAATGAAATATTCTTATAGCCAGCTAGAACATTTAGGTCTAACTATAATTAGAGTTTGGTTACTGCTGATCAAGTTATAACATTATAATACTTATTATTATTATGGTGGTTGGTTGACAAAAATCGACTACTGAATATTCAGTATAAAACAATAAATATTTTGAATCTTACGTGAGGTATTTAAAATATCGACCACGAACATGTAAACGATTAAAATAATCAAATAAAGAAATGATTTTAGTTAATAGTTTCTTTGGCCAATGTAAATAAAATTTTCTGATTACTTTAATCAAAAATATAGTTCGTTCATATTTCAATAAATAATTTAGTTCGTGTCTGTTCTGATTGATTCTGATTAATTTTGACCAACATTTTTATACATATATTTTCGTATAATGTATCAAGCTATCGAAAAAAATTACACAAATATACATACTTCGAACATGAATGTATCCACTTCCTCTCTGATATCCAAATCACTCAAATTATTTTCCTGCGAAGCTGCTATTAAAAGATCCAGCATGGCAAGTCGCTTTTTTTGAACTGAATTAAATAAAAGATCATAAGCTGTAATTGACGTCTATCCCTTACATTTGTTATATATTATTTTCATGTACGCAATTAGTAAGCAATAATGATTTCGTTAAAAACCGAAACAATAAATTAGTTTCACTTTAGAATATGTAGTTAGAATACCGCGATTTTGATTGTGTGGTATTAGAATGAACTCAAAGTATAAAATTACGTACATCCATATATTTCCACGTCATCTGTTTCTATCGCATCGTCATTTGCGAAACTATGCAAATATTTATTGTTCGTATGTTCGTGATAAAGTTTTCTTTCCGCTATGATCTAAAAATAATGTTAAAATGGAAGAAAACATTAATTTATTTTATGGCTCGTTTTATTGCGCTATTTCACTAATATTTCAATTTTTTATCAGTATTTGTATAGAATATTCGCGTTTCAATTTTGTGCACTGAGAGGCTCAGTGGATACTGAGTAACTTGATTTTTATGTACTTTTTCAGTGAATCCATGCAAGTTTTGTAGTGTCTTCTTTTGCAATTTGCTCGCAGAAGTCAAAGCAAATATCGGGTCGAAGATCAACCAAGGCCTCAATAATCTAAGTAACATAATTATATAACAAGAGAATAAACCTGAGAAAATAATGATATTAGTAGTTTCTATATAATTATGTAAAGGAAATATTTAACAATAAACAAATAAAATTGAAAATTGAGTGAGCTAAAAGACGTACATTTATCATACTTTTTTTCTTTTTTCTTTATCTTTTTTTTTCTCTTTCGCTATAAATTACCCAGCTAATATCAAGATATAATTTTGTTTTCGATTCGGTAACACATCTAACTTTTTACAATGTTTTTACAATGTTTTTCGCAATGTTATTTTTTCCAAATATCCGACATTTTAAGAGATTTAAATAATCTTTTTTTGAGACTGCAAGACCTAACGAGTAATATATTAATTGTATATTTGTATTCGTATTTACCTTAATTATGACTATTTTTTTTCGTGTTATGCACTATTATATAAATATGTACATTATGTACCGCAATTATTGATTACCTATAAATACAAAGTTGACACATTTGACGAACCTCCTGTCGATATTTTTTTTGAGCAGCACCGAGATTGTGCAAAGAAGTACCCATGGCAGTTTCTATAAATTAGACAGCTCTTAAGAACTGTCTACAATGAGAGTAAAGTAGGGCTGTAAAAAGTGAAAGTAAGAAATTGACCAATCACAGTCGATTATTCATCTCACATTCATTTATGATTAGCCAATTTATTTCTTTTACTTCTTACTTCTTAGCCATACTTTACTCTCCCATTAGACTGTTTTTTAGATACATACTAAATAAATTTTCTATAGAATTATGTGACGAAAATGTACAATAATTTACCGCATATTGCGTTTAGTGTGTGTTCAGAAACAAATGGTAATACATCTATTTCAACCGTCCCGCCGATGTTCTTCAATTCGTGTGTCATGCGTTCACTTTCCTCCAATAAAATATCAATAAACTGTCGCAGTATATTGAAATGGAATGCAGGCGTTAGTATCTTTCGCCGTGAATGCCACTTGGCACCTAAAACAAAAATGAGATTATGATTGATCTTATTTTTCGAATCATTTGTAACTGGAATATTATCGTATATTGCGCGATAATGCTATGAAATGAGAAAAATAACATCAAATAAAAAAAAAATGAAAGAACAATATCAATAATTTTCGCATGCAATGGGCAACTTCTACTCTTTCAGTTTATCACTTAATTAATTAACTTTTATATGACATTTAAAATACACGTATTTTGTAAGCTCATAAAAGCGAAAAATATTTTCTAGCAAGAAATAATTTATTTGTCAGTTTTCTAAATATAGTTCTTTCTTGAGTATGCCCATACAGCACAAATGTCCGAAATATATCCCAGAGACATTTCATATATTTCACATCGTCTTTAAGATGTCTCTAGGATATATTTTGGACATTTGATTTTGTATAGGCAGGCAGTGAAGTGATGTTCCTGCAAAGAGATTAAAGTTCAAAAATCAGATAATATATATTTCAGGAGTAATATATTTCAGGAGATAATATATATTTCAGGAGATAATATATATTTCAGGATTTCATTAATGTGGAAAGCCTTTATTTATGACAAATAATTAATTTGTCCGTTTTTAAACATAGTTTACTCTTAAGCATGGGATAAAGAATGTTTCTCTGCTTCCCAAGAGGTTGCAGCTTAGAAATTATGAATTATATATTTTGTAAGTATATTAATCCGTTAATAATACTAATAAAAGAAATAATGAATTGAATTTTTTTCTTTATGAGTTATCTCTTGAGTGTACATTACGAGAATATTATGTTATTACGAGAATAAAAGATGGAAGAAAAAAAATCAAATTTATACAAGTTTAAGAACTCACAAATAACTTCTAATGCTGCAATTATCTTGAATTCCATTATTATAATTTATGAAGTAGGACGCTGAGTGAATGTTTGTTCAGCCTCTCTTCCTTCCCATTTAGAAATAAAAATTCTTGCTCAGAAAAACGAGCTCAAAATTTTAAACAAAGATTAAAAGCTCATAAATAGCTTTTAATTCTGAGCTATTCGTTTTTTGTTTTTATTTGATGAGGTTGAGCCGGCTGCCGTTATCTTGTTTGATCATATTCGTTAAAATCCATATCGTTACGTCCATTTTCAGTATAAGGCACACATATACGATTATAATATTTCTTTTATTGCATTACCTGTGCTAGTAAGAAGCCCGCTTTTTAACCAAGGATGCAAGATACTGTACACCCTGCTTTTATCGATATGCTTCGTATTGTTTAATATTGCCTGAAATCATAGAAATCATAGATGTTAGTATTTTGTGCAATATCAGTTTATTATAACATTTAAATTCACACACAGCTAAATAATGAGTCGTTTTACGAATAATTTAAAGCATCACCTCTTTCATGGTCTATATTTTAGCAAGTTAACTTTTTCCGTATCATATAGGAAACGATGTAATGACATGTAAAATTAACAAATGTACATGATATATTCGTGTGACGAATTGGCACACGGATATATTATGTACATGTGTTAGTGTGTCAAACCTCGCTTTGCTCGTAGCTTTGGGCGGAGGGACGCAACGAACCGCGTTTCGCGTGTATCATGGTCGTGCGCTGGCCGAAGACATCTTTCTTTCGGCTGCTGCTTTCCGAATGCTGATTAACTCAGGCAAAATAATTTATTCCTCATTAAATATTGCGATTTTTACAAAATTGTATTTGACTTTCCTATTCCGTTTAATCCGTTCTGCTTTCTTACGAATTGTGTCAAGAAAGGTTTCAGACACACTATATATATACAGGGTATCTGACTCATACCATACCGGAGCTGATATACAGGGTCATCGAAAAGTATCGGACCCCCCTAATATCTTCAGTTAGAATGCATTTTGGAGAAAATGTCCAATAGCAAAGTTGTATGGTTTCAAACGGGGAGTAAGATGATGACCTTGACTTTGACCTTGACCATGTCCTTCAAGGTCATTTCAAGGTTAACCTTATTTTTTTAAATGGAACCCCCTATATTTTATTGCATATTCTTATAGTTTATCTCGAGAGCTTTCCAAAATGCTAGAATAAAACATTTTTTCATTAAGTATTTTTTGAATTATAAAGGTTTGAAGTTAACAAATTTTTGACACAAAATGTAAAATATCTTGTAAAATATTATTTAGTTTTCAGTAATCATAACCTTAATACTTTTGTGCGCGGAATAATGAGACCAATCAATTGGTTTAAAGAAAATACATTAATCAAAAAGTGTTGGATCCCCCTAATATTTTCAGTAAGAATGCATTTTGGAAAAATGTCCAATAGAACTAATACCGCCGGAAACGTATCGGAATGCGGTTTCAGCTGTTTATAACAGATTGACACATTGCCAGGCTGTTGAAGGGCAACAATTTAAACATTTGTTGTGAATTGTTTGGTACAATTGAATATTTTGCCCAAGCTGACCAATTGGAATGAAATTCGCCTTAACTGGCCGGACCCACACGCCACTCTTGTCTTAACTGGCCGAACCCACACGCCACTCTTGCCTTAACTGGGAGGACTCACATGCCACTCTTGCCTTAACTGGTCGGAATCACACACCACTTAACAAATTGTTAACTTCAAACCTTTATAACTCAAAAAGTACTTAATGAAAAAATGTTTTATTCTAGCGTTTTGAAAAGCTCTCGAGATAAGCTATAAGAATATGCAATAAAATGTAGGGAGTTTCATTTAAAAAAATAAGGTTGACCTTGAAATGACCTTGAAGGACATGGTCAAAGTCAAAGTCAAGGTCATCATCTTACTCCCCGCTTGAAACCATACAACATTGCTATTGGACATTTTCTCCAAAATGCATTCTAACTGAAGATATTAGGGGGGTCCGATATTTTTCGATGACCCTGTATAACTAGAATAGTTCGGGGTGAGTAATGGAATCTCTTTTTTTAAATAACCACGTAAAATTTTGAGTTATTAAGTAAAATAAATGGGCTAATCACAGCGCGCGATGCGGCAGGCGAGACGTACGGCTCGTTGCGGCTGGCGAAGAAAATGGACGATTGTTCGCGGGCCTATCACGCAGTGTCAGATCCTTAGAGCATATATACAGGGGAATGCTGGCATATATAGGAGGGGGAATTCTGGCACGAAAATATGTCCAAAATGTGTGTGAGAGAGAGAAAGCTATACGTTCCTATTCGTCTTCTGTACGCATACATTGAAATTGACAGGTTAGGTTAGGTTATAAAGTTGACAAGAGATAAAAGTTATTTATTTTCTTCTCATAGAGCTCTGAGAATTTTTTTAGAATTTTGTATTAACTTTTTAGTACTGCATTTTTTTGCATTTTCTTACATTTGCTTAAAGTAGAAAGTAAGTGAGAAGAAAATAAACAATTTTTATCTCTTGCTATTTTTCGGTAAAGTTGATAGAATTCATATAAAAAAATATTGAAACCAATAATTTTGTAGCCCAGCAACAACTGACGCATGTTGGCGCATGCGCACAGAGGATGAATAGGAATGTATACCTTTCTCTCTCGCATATATTTTTGACACATTTTTGGTCTACAGGAGGCACATGTAATTCCCCCTCCATATATATATATATATATATATATATATATATATATATATAT